AGAATATTATTTAGAAGATTGTTTCTAATTCTTTTTGTTTCTAATTCTTTTGTAAAGTAATTAGTGAAAAATTTCGCAACACCTTGTATGCACTTCCAGCTTGTAGCGAGCGATCCTTTCGTCATTTATGATCGTAACGTGTGTCGCCATTCCGCAATGAGAGAATTAAGGGATTTTTAGCAAGTAAGAGGATTCGATTTCTTTTCCTCAGTAATCATTACCATGGTTTATGGTATCAGGTTCAATGTTCCTCCTTACTTGCTTGGGGAACATTCAATGACCTGACTCGGAACAGGGAGCTTACTAAAGCTATGTTCAATATATGTGGGAAGCAGACAAGATACACAGGAAGGGTATACGAAACCCTTTATTTTTCTCTCTTTACAATGATTTCCGGACTTCGGAATACAGAGACCAACCACTTGTGGTCTGAACGTAAGAATATAAAAATATTAACTAAATTCTAACTAAACTAACTTTGGATTAATAAACAAGGGGTCTACTTGAAGATTGGCCGTATATTAACAGAAAGGCCGTATGTAGTACAGAGAACTGTTAACACTACGATACGTTTAAAATTATCAAGAGGATTAAACCTCTGGCCTTGAAGGCAACCAGCAACCGAGTAAAAACTGCTAAGGCAAGCGGCCTGCTTCTACTAACTCCTTCCTCTCTCTCTGCTTGGCAAAAAGCCACAACTTAAGTACTTGGCGTTCGCAAGACAAATTTGCATAAATAAGTTAAAGCTTTTAATTCTGGCCGGAAGTAGAAAATAAGAAGTGATAGTAAAGATTTAAAATAAAATAAACGTTAGTAAAACTTAAGATCCTTACAATGGACTTGAAGGGCCTATTGTAAGGCAATAGATTGTAATAGGTCTGTCGCAACTGATCAGGTTAAAACTGCTTTAGATATGTAATCTGAGTTTCAATATTATACTGCTATTTATTTTTAATATTATAAAATTCTGGCTAAATTAAAGCTACTTCGAAGTCTAGATCTTTATTTGACCTATGAATATAGCATTCACTACGTTCAACTGTATCAGTAACAAGACGTAGGAACGGTGAAAAGACTCTTTTATTCAGCTGAAGAAAAATAGATATTGGCACTTCTTGTGTTTACATGTCCACACCAATACTTTTCGTGGCAAATGAAAACAGAAATGTTATATTAAAACTAATCCTAAGTGAAATAATCGATGGAACTGCATAGAGATATTTTAACAAGTAGTTGGCTCTTGGCCCTACCACCAGCGTAGACTAACCGGCAGTTAATATGCACAACCGTAAAATAAGCTTAAGTATCGGAGAAACAACTTGGCCGAAAGGCAGAACACACTCTATCTGAAGTAACTCCGACACCAGCTTCAATAGTAGCTTTCTATCCTACTTTGCATAATGCGCGAAACGAAATTCTCATTCTGGCAAGAAAGAAGGGGTTGAAAACAATAGCTATAGGAAAGGTTGTTTACGAAATAAAATTAACTGTTAAGAAAGTTAAATAAAACCCCACAATGTTATGACTTTTACATTATGTAATTTAAATAATTTTATCATTTTGAAATTTTAATAGTAAACTCTTTGAGGTCTTAAAGTGTAATCTAAAGTTTTCAGATTGCTCACTCTGTTTCTGTCTTTTATTATTATTATTGATTTTATTATTACTATTATTATTAATTATTAATATTTTATTAGTCCAAAGGGGCTTTGTCTCTGAGGGACTCTTGTTTTCGTTTTGCGATTTTGCGTTGAAACACTATAAACGGCTGTATCAGTTTTCAAACTGTTGCCACCAAATATTATCGCCGTGTATTATACTTAAATAAATTAAATAATAAAGAATCTGCATAAATGTATGTATATTTCTCGCGTTGTGATAAAACAACGGTGCCTAGAGCCATCCAATTTTGAATGACGTAATCCTACTGCGAATATGGGCATCTGAAAGACCAAATTTCAAATTTGGAATTTGTTTTATTATCGATTTCATATTTTGTAAATCTTTAACGAATTTTTGGTTAACAAACTCAAGGATTTCAAAGCGAGAAATGGCAACATTGTACAAAAAAAAAACAAAACATTTTTATCTCCAGCGCGGGAGACTGAGTATCAGAAATTCTAAAGATATGCTCAGTTTAAAGTTATTTTGGGATATTGCTCTTGAACTGAATTTCATGATTTAAGTGCGAAGAACATGATTTTTAATAAAGAAAGGTAACACACAAAATGTTAAGAAGAACGCCCCTTTGGACGTAATTTAAAATCGGAAACCTTTCAGATTTTCTTTTTTATTAATTATTATTATTTTTTATTATTAATTATTAATGTAGAATATGCAAGATCTGGGGATTTAGATATTCTTAACATTTAGTGTAACGTGCAATTAAGTAATTATTTTCATATTGCGCAAAATTTCGCAAGTTAAATCATGACATGGGATTCATCAATCATAACAAAGAACTTGTTAACTAAAATAGAATAATAGATGTCAAATGCTTAATGAAAGCTACTAATAGCTTAAATAGTAATTTTCTGAAAAAGAAGAGAATGGCAAGTTAACTGAAGTAAGCTATTAATAAAACTGTCGTTGGAACCTATTCTGTTACAAATGTTCATTCATGTGCGTTCTCTCTTTAAATAAAATAAACCAAATTGTGAACAGTGCCTATTTATGTTTTCTTAAATTTAAATTGGGTTTTAAAACTGTTCTAAATTTATTCAAAACTTTTTTTGGAATATGGCAAAGCGTGCCGGAGCATCGGAATGTATGCATAACACGAAACATAATTTTTGAGGTCTTTCGATCGCAGTCATGTACTTGCCTTCAGGAAAAAGATCTCAGCGAAAAGGCCACATTATCTTCCCCCCCCTTCAATAAAAAAGGGAAACAAATGTTCCTCGCAGATTGTCGTGGAAAATTACTTGACGACAATCCGGCAATCTGTTTTTCCTCTCCCAGCGTTTCAAGAAAAGAAGAAATTGACGTTGTCAACGTTGATTTACGACCATTACGCTCAATTTTGTGTCGTTCCCTTCACTTCGGATCTCGGCAACCATACACAAATGGCAGTAAATTGGCTCTGTCAAGAACAAGATCGCACAGCTGATCTTAGGAAGTTACTGCTAAAAGCAGGAAAAAAATCAGATACCCTTGTATGGCGACGAAGATACAAAGGCCTTACTTTTCGACAAAGAATGTTACGTACTAATTTGTAAGAATGCTCTCTAAAAAGTCTACATTAGAAGGCGAAGAATTCATCTTATTTTGTGTAATAGAGACGCGAAAGAGGGAGAAAAAGAAACAAAGGATAACATAGGGAAAGAAATTTATGCAGATCTTATCCTGAAGTCAAATTTAGTATTTCAGAGGGACTTTGAAAAGTTTTGCCTCCGCCCTCTTTTTGTATCTTTTTCTAAGAACCTATAAAGTTTGAGGATATAAAACTTTTGTGGTAGTATGAGATAAGTTATGAATTTATTTTAAAGGTTTATCTTTTTTAAGTTAAAAATTATAACTGAATTAATTTTTTCATACTTTTGGAGATTAGAAATGTCTTTAGCTGTTTTTTTCAACTTCATTGTTAATTAATGTTATGCTACCAGAGCATTTATATTCTGCTCGGATATCTATCGGTGGTCAAAGGGAACCCCAAATGGGCTGGCTGCGTGGTTATTTTCGTGCTTTCTCCTTTTGAGTGAGAACAACGAATAATTTTCCCTTAGGAAATCTCCCACGATGACATCTTCCCGTTATGCAGTTTTCCTTCGTGTTTTTTTTTTCTCATGTCTGAGTAAACAAACAAGCCGTAAATATTGTCATTTCAGACGACATAAAATTTTTCATTTACCATTTACGCACCTGATTTATTACTATTTGTCTGAAATCTTCATCGAACTTTTACATGTTAAAAGCAAATCTGCATAATTCTTAATAAAGCATATCTCCATAAAAAGTACTAGTGTGTGATCTACGTAGAAAAGCATTAGTGCACAAATATGTGACATTCTGATGCAAGTCTATATAATTCTTAATAATCACTATGCTTTGTGTTTGTTCATTACAATTTCTTCATTAATTCGTATTTTGATATCATAACGGCGAACTAATTTTATTTTAATTATCATAATTCGAAGGTAATTCTTCATAGCAGCTTTTGAAAAAGGCTTTTTTTCCTTCCCCGAATTTCAGTTGAAATGTTTGGAAATTTAATGAAAAATTGTATCATTAACAGTCATTTTTTTAATTTGAAATTGAAGAGAGCCGTCAAAACTAAGAACTGAAAGTGTGGATTACATGGACTATCGCAGCTTATGAATTGCATAACACTGTAATTCCTTATATGGAAAAGAAGACGTATTATTATAAAACGATAAATGGGCAAAAGTGAACTAATCAAACGTTATAAAAGTGCTAGTATGATAAATTTATTTCTAAAATAAGTCTGCATAAAGAAATGATAAGAAGAAGCGTAAATGATCGCTTTGGCATCTTTGGACCGTAGCGCTTTGGCATCCTCGGATTAGGTTTATTGTGACTATTGCGTTATCTTTACGACTCTTGCAACCCCTAATACAGAGTAAATTGCTTTAAAAATGATACAATTATATATTAAAAAAATTCTAGAAGGCTTCTCAGGTAGATAGCCTTTTAGTGCTCTGCCGCATTCAAATAACTTACATTATGTTTTTTCTATATGTTCTTGTAAGTGATCTTTGACTGTACAGTTGTTCATGATTAACAATCTCTATCTATGGAGCCCACCTGCGGCCGAGTTAAAGTCGTTGAACATTGGTAGTTCGGTTCGGGGTTCCAATCATGGGCTGGCTTCATGGGCGCTCTCCAGCTATGTAACGATTATACGAGCCAGCTTCTCTTAGAAAGTCCTCTACGAGGTCGTCCCTCAAGTTTGGCTATAATTAATTTAAATAAAATAAATACAAATAAATACTCTATGTATGCCTGTTTCTCCTTTCTCATATTAACATTTCATTTTTCAGAACAGTCGCTGCGTGATGTGGAATATGAACGACATGTGAATAGTTGAATCTTAAAAGAAATAAATTCACTTCTGGACTGCAGCAACTGATACAGCATCGTTTGGATTTATTTGATTTCTCATCTTGGCTTGAAAAAAACGAAAAGCAAGATTTTTCAGATTTTTATGAGTGTATCAAATAGGAATGTGGGGTAAGACTGTCATTATTTTTGTTCTGTAGTTATTAAAATAAACATCTGCATTATCCATTATATAGTCATGTATCAGTTTATTACTGTACGTATTTCTTATGAAAGATTATCAGTATAATTGTGCGCTTTAGGGAAAGTGTATAATTCGATAATATTGTGACATTTGCATGTTAAGAGGAATTTAGAAAGTTTGTGTAACCATTTGTCGAAGCATTTTTTAAATGCTATGCAACAAAATTAAATTCGGGATATATGAGTAGATTTTAGAAGCATAAAATCATATATATCTCTTCAAAGTTTTTGTTTTGATATTTGGCATCAAAACACTAATCTCAGAGAAGTAACTCTAACCATTAGTATGTAATTATATTTACTGAAACGAATGAATGAAGGCTTATAGTTCCATGCATTTGAATAAGGAGGCTACAACAAGTATTACTTCCTTAAATATTGATACTAGGGGCATGTGTTTTCAAATTTTAGCAAAATAAAGGAACTGGGAGCAGAACTGAGCTTAAGTCAGGCTGTCAAGTATATGGTACTCAAGGCGTGCGCTTCTCTAATATCAGACTAGCAAGATTAGTCAAAACAACTACAATAACATTCACTTGGATTGAACTCGATATATTTCAGCTAACATTTGGAATGTGTTGTTTAAGCATGCACAATAGAAATGAATGCTTTTATACTACCACAAAATAAAATAATATAATACATTCAAATAAAATCTTTTTAAGGTCTTTCTTGAATTTTGCGAATAAAGACTCTCATAAATTTAAGTACAATTAATATTTTGCTAATTAGACTTGCCTCTCTTTTAAAAAGAATTTGTTTTTAAATTAAAACCTTCCTATCTTCAGTGTAGAAACCATTCAAGAGCGGTCAGAATGAATATTTTCGTTGAAATAATTAACACCCGAAATTTTTCGCGATCATAATACTTCCTTTACTTCGTACAAGGTAGTAAAAAATGGTGTTGCTTCTTAACGCGTCATAGATAAATTTTAAGATCGCATTTTCATGTTAATTGTGCTTCTTAAAAAATTGAACGATTAATTTGCAGTAACTATAATTTATTTAAAATCCAACGATCTTTTATAAGCATGTAATTTTAGATTTTAAGGTTTGCCTTCGAATTATTGAATTGCTATATAACCAATGAAATGTGCTTTACACATTTACAAACACACAAGGAATCATATGTGCCTACTTGTCTGACCATTATCGTACTATAAAAATAATAAGATGTACATATTTTCCTCTTGTAATCTCAGTATACTCATTTAGATGATTCATCATTTTCACCTGTTTGCACCGAACTAACCCCCCCCCCCAAAAAAAAGAAAAAAAGAAAGAAAGAAAGAAAGAAAGAAAAGGACATAAATTTTAAATGTTAAAAGAAATTCTGAAAGCTTTCAGATTTTACATTACTCCCAAAGAGGCGTTTTTACGTTTTGGGTGTTAACTTTATTTATTAAATATCATGTTCTTTGCATTTAAACCCTAAAATTCAGTTCAACAGCAATATCACAAAATATTTAAAACAGCATATCTTTAGAATTTTCGGTACACAGTCTCGCGGCGCTGGAGATAAAAATGTTTTTTTTTTCCCCTTCGTACAGTGTTGCCATTGTTGGCTTTGAAACCGTTGAGTTTCTCAATCAAAACCTCTTAAATGATTTTAAAAATATGAAATACATAATAAAAAAATTCCAAATTTGGGCTTCCGGATGCCCATATTCGGGTGGAGACGTACGTTATTCAAATTTTGATGGCTCTAGGTACTATTGTTTTATCACAAACATTTATGCAGATTCTTCATTATTTAATTACTTTAAATATAATACAGGGCTAAAAATTGAAAAAGTGATTCGCCGTTTATAGTGAATTAACGCAAAATGCCAAAACGAAATTAGTAGCACTTTTGGGCTAACGCCCCTTGGGCTAAAAATGGCAATGTTATTTTAAAAACTTTTCATGTATAAATATTTGTGTAGCTTCACAAACTGGCGTATACGACACATCAAATAAATATTCTATGATTACTTTCTTTGATTTCAAATTTAAACAGCATATACTACATACGTACCTGATGGTGTCTCTACTTTAATTCCAATGAACCATATAAATATTCAATAAAAATCTCATCATCATTTGTATTATGTCCTTATACGTCGCTACCTTTAGCGAAAACGATAAACTCGTTGTCATCTTTACGATGTCAGCAAATCATTAATGCATATGAATAAAGCGAGTGTTATTTGTATTGTGCCTCCCACTATGATTAGTGCATCAATTGTGCTATCGCGTCCGCGCTTGCTTCTACTTTCGCTTTATTGCCGTTAAGTGAATGGAGCATTATTATTTAAAGTCATGTTTTTTATCGTTGCAAAATTGTTTTCTAGGAGGAAGAAACTTATTTATTTTAGAAAATAGTTGGAATAATTAATAGATATTTTAAAATATATAAAGATTTGAAAGGTACGTAATGTATTTAAATAAAATTGCTTAAAAATAAAGGAGAAAAGAAAAAAAAATAAACTATGGATCATTCCGAGTTGCTTTGAAAAATATGACAACAACATCGGGATTGAAGTTTTGGGAATCAAAATACAATGATCCACATACACTCATGTCCATAAATTAAGGATAATGCAAAATCAGGCAAAGGAAGAGTTAGAAGCAAAGCAAATTTGACTTATTTGTAAAGCGTATTTATTAAACAAAAGGTAAACAGCAAAGAAAGATGCTATTATGTTTGATATTATTAAAAAAATTAGCGATTTTTTCTTCCTGGAGAAAATTAAAAAAAAAAAAAAAAAAAAACCTATTTACAAAAAACCAATATTACATGGTTGGTATGATTGTTAATACATTGTATGTCTCCCAGACGATGCAACACAGTCCGTACAACGCCTAGGCATGCTGAGTATCAAATTATCGATCTGATCTTGGGGGATATTACACCACTCAAAAAGCAATGCTCTCCGAAGTTCCGGTAGACATATAGGAGGAGGTTGACGGGCTGCAACTCGTCGGCCAAGCATGTCCCACACGTGCTCTACTGGATTCTAGTCCGGTGAGAATGCTGACCAGTCCATACGGGTGATATGCTCCGATTGAAGGCATTCGCTTACGATGTTTGCACGGTGAGGACGGGCGTTGTCATCCATAAACACAAATTGTGCGCCCATGGCGCCCCGAAACAAACGTATATGTTGGTCCAGATAACGTCCCGATAGATTTGGCTTGTCATGGTTCCAATTTGAACATGCAGGTCAGTTCTGGAACCCATAATAATTCCACCCCAAACGAGCACTCCTGCACCACCGTAACGGTGTCGTTCAATGATGTTTTCTTGGTGGTAACGAGTACCTGGAGTTCTCCATATGAAAGTTCGGCAAGAATCATACTGCAAGCTAAACCTGGACTCGTCGGAAAACATCACACAAACCCACTGTTGCGGTGTCCACAATGCATGCTCTCTACTCCAGGCTAACCGCAGGCGACAGTGAGTTGCAGTAAGTGGAACGCATCTGACAGGTCTACGAGCATATAGACCAATCTGCCCTAAGCGTCTGTACACGGTCTGACCTTGAAATTGTCGTACCAGTGGCTGAAGAGAGCTGACGAGACAGGTCTGAGGCTGTGCTCCGCCTGTTTCTTTTGGCAGTAACTGCCAAATACCGGTCCTCATTCGGCGTTGTAACTCTGGGGCGACCTGTGCTGTAACGTCTAATCACATTACCATCATCTTGGAATCGTTGCCAAAGCCTGGAGATGACACTATGGGCAATTCCAAGTTCGTCTGATACTTCCAGTTGGGTACGCCCATTTTCCAGACGGCCGATAATTCTACCACGTAAAAAATCATCCAAATGCGTCCTTTGTGTCATAACTATTCGGTTATTGCACTGAAATGCTTATAAAGCGCCTGCGAACAATTTTACTTCTTTGCCTGTATTCCTTATATATCACTCTCTTACACTCTTGTCATTGTGACGTACCATTGGTGTCCTCTGGTTACTTCCTGAAATTTGCGTATGATTCTTGAAGATGTGTGTAGTGATTTTACAGGTGATATATTTATTTTAGAGTTCGATTTCCGCGTGACTCCGAATTATCCTTAATTTATGGACATGAGGGTAAAACAGCAACAACTATAGATTTAGATATATATTCACCTATAGATTTAGATGAGAAATCTACCTTTCCTCGTTTCCATAAAAGAGAGTGCTGAAAATTTCATGAGTGAATATTAGTGAACAGCAAAGTGTCATATTTATTAATATGTTCATTTAAGAATGGAAGATCAGAAATCAACTTCCGAACTCTTTCTTATAATAAAAAATAACTTCAAACTTTCGATGTGAGAAATAATTTTCTTGCCCTGATATTCTGTTTTGTTGAAGTACATTTGCAAGACAGAGTCATTAGAACGTGAGGGAGGAGTGTAGGTTGTTGCGTTTACGAACGCATTACGGTACTTGCGCAGAATTTGCTATGCTTTTATGCGATTGACTGCGTGAGAGATTGTATATTTTAAAAACTGTTGATAGAATTCATGGCTGCGAATGATTATGAACCGTGTAAAGTTTATGAAAATAAATAAAAAGCTGTTATATTTGAGTTACAGAAACTATATTTGAGTTGTGTACAAAGTATTGTGGATATTCATGATAGGCCATGATGTGAAGCTGTAAACCAGTTCCAGCTATTTACAGGGCATTGAAGAGAGCTTGGTCTTTTGCCAGATAATGACTGTTTGAGAGGGTACTCCCATCGTATTGCTATTCATGACCATCTGTAACGTTTTCTTTGTAATGTGATGAAACTTACAAACAGAGGCCTAATTGGAATCGTTGAGATACTACATGGTGACACAGAGACAACCTTAATACTGTTGGGATGGAGAACTTCTGAGGCAGTAACTTCATTCACTTTTCAATTGTATTTTAATTATTAACATCTGTTGTTATTGATATTCCTATTTTGTAATT